AGAGGAGAATGGAGGAGAAGGGATTGCGGCATGGCCATCCCCCCTGGGGGGTGATTTCTTGCTTTCTGTCTCTGTCTCTGACAAACATATGAGCCCTATAGCAAAAATTTCTCTTAAAAAAAAAGAAAAGAAGAAGAACTATGAAGTATGAGCAAAATATTTTTTGGTATGTCAAGTAAATGTTTGTGGAAAAATGTAAAAATAAATAAATGGGGGGAAAAAAAACCTAAACTAAAAGATATGAACTGATCTATGATGACGGAAAGCAGATCAGGGGTTGCTTGGGAACGGGGGAGTGAGCGAAGGCGGGAGAGATCACAGAGGCTATGGGGACCTTTGGGGATGACGGGCGGCTCGCCATCTTGATCGTGGTGATGGTTTCACAGCTGTGTGTGTGTGTGTGTGTGTGTGTGTGTGTGTGTAAACTCGTCAAACTGTGACAGTGAGGGAGAAAAGGAGGGACGAAGGGAGGAAGGAAGGCCTAGCCAGGCATGCCTGGGTGCAGGAGGGGAATTGCAGATGCAGCACCCTCCGAGCGCCAGCCTCACTCGGTGCCCACGCTCACACAGCCTATGGGGAGTGTGCAGTTTCCAGCGGCCCAGCCAGCGGGGCCTTCCCTGTGGCAGGAGTCTGCGGCCGGGGAGCCCAAGAGTGAGTGCGGCTTGCCGGGCACAGGAGTGCTTAGGTGGGTGTGAACCCTTGGGAGGGTGTGAGACATTAAATTGAGGAGTTGAAGGTGACACCTTTCTGGGTGCCATTTCCTGCCGGAGATGGTCCCCATGCAGGAGGCAGGCAGGCGGGGACTGGGGCAGACTCATTTTCTGTTCCCAGCTGGGACAGAGAGATTAAGAGTTCAGCTCTTGGGACCAGCAGTTGGCGTAATGGCTATGTCGCTGGACTCCCACGTGGTCGACCGCAGTTTGCATCCCAGACCTGGTGGCTTAAACTCACACCGGGCGTGTGTGCATGTGTGCTCAAAATCCCAAGAGGAGAATGGAGGAGAAGGGAATGTGGCATGGCTATCTCCCTGTGAGGGGATTTCTCACTTTCTGTCTCTCTGTGTCTCCAGCAAGCGTACACGCCCTCTCAAAAATAAAGAGTGCAGCTCTGGGCACCAACCCCGACTTCTCAGGACGCGTCAGCAGTTCTTGTTCACAGCTTGTACAGGAGAAAAAGCCAGTCCCACCGGGTCCAGGAGGACTTAGATGTTTGGATAAAGCCTGGCCCGAGAGAGCCATGCACGCACCAGCAGACAGGCCCAGGGAGTACACTCAGCTCCAGCCCCCATGGACTCCTCCTTAGGAGCTGTATCTGTTTCACGTGAAGTGACCCCAGGGCCACTGGGAAAATCTGCTATCCTCTGAATACTGCCTCATTTTCGGGGGATATTTTTTTTTTCTTTTTGGAGAGGTTTTCGCTATAGGGCGCGTGCACTCGCCAGACAGATAGAGACAGAGAGACAGAAAGCGAGAAATCATCCCCCAGAGAGGATGGCCACACCGCAATCCCTTCTCCTCCATTCTCCTCTCAGAATCTTGGGCACACACACACATGTGCCCAGCATGAGTTTTAAGCCACCGGGTCCGGGACGCAAACCATGGTTGACTACATGGGAGTCCAGCGACATAACCATTACCCTAACTGCTGGTCCCTCGGGGGTATTCTTGAAATGCTTCCATTCTATTTCACCCTTGGGTTTAGAAGTGCCAATCATGCCTGTGAAAATGTCTGCCTCACTGAGGGTGAAAGGGCGGAGGTGAGAGGGCATAGGCTTCCTCCCTATTGGAAGGGAAGAAACTAGTGGTGCTGAGGCCCACTGCGTGGCCTCCCCAGGACATGTCCTGAGAGGGAGACAACGGAAAACACTGGAGGAGGGACGGGGGAGCGGGCATGGAGGTAGCCAGGTAGCCAGGCTGCAGCCGGGGGTCTCTGGTCTACTAAAGAACCAAGTCCAGGGACTAGTAGGTGGGGTGGTGGTTAAGGTGCTAGACACTCCCACATGGCTGACCACGGTTCAATGCCTGGACCTAGTGGCTTGCTTTCTCACCGGGATGCCTGGACCTAGTGGCTTGCTTTCTCACTGGCTCCCCCCTCCCCCATGTCTCTCTCTGGTCAAATTAAAATAAATGAATGAATAAATAAAATTAAATAAGTATAGGGAGACCAGTAGGTGGTGTGGTGGTTAAGGGCACTGGACTCCATATGGCCAACCATGGTTCAAGTCCCAGACCTGGCAGCTTGCTTTCTCACTTTCCCCCTCTCTCTCACTCTCACTCTGTCCCTCTCTAATCAAATTAAAGTAAATAAAGTTCAATAAAATAATTCTTTAAAAAACTTGATTAAAAAACCCCCAAAAAACCAAGTCCAAGTCCCAAGTTAGGCATCTTCCAAATAACTAGTCCCCAGGACACACCACCGCTGGGGAGTGTGGAGCTCTGCAGCTGGTGGCTGGAAGGACCAGCCCAGGAGCTCCTCCTACTCCCAGGGCTCCAGAGCGGAGGCCCCATCCCTATCCGGCCTCACTGACACTCCTCAGGTCTCCGCCTTTTGGACCTTGGAGCTCGGTTCTCACCACTGTCCCCTGTGTTGATGTGGGGGGGAGGGGGGTATTGTCAGAGGAAACTAGGGGCCTGGAGGGAGTCTGTCAGGGCAGGTGAGAGGAGGGGCCTGTCACCCAGGTCGGAGGGGTGGGGGGCTGGACTGACTGTGGCAGGGCACGCATCTGATGTTCTCAGTAAGAGCTCCATTTATTGGAGCATTGTGCTGGGCACTTCATGTGGCTTCACTCCCGTAACCCTCCCAATAAAACTCTGAGGTAAATTCTAAGATTAGCCCCCTTTATAGATGAGGAAGCTGAGGCCCCAGTATCTGCTCAGGATCACACAACTAGGTGTTAGGAACTAGGATCTAAACCCCTATAGGTTAGGAAACCAAGGTTCAGAGCTGGGCCCAGAACCTAGTGGTTAAGGGAGCTGGATCTCACATAGTTGCCTATGGTTCAGATCCTGGCCCTGGTGGCTTAAAAAGCACACCCAGGGGAAAAAAAAAAAAGCACACCAGGAATGTGTGCGTGTGCGTGTGTGTGTGTGTGCGTGTGCATGTGTGCATGCCCCCAACTGCAACAGAATGAAGTAGAGAAGAAGGGATTGCAGCGTAACTGTGTCCCTTTGGGGGTGCCTTCTTCCTTCCCCTCTTTTTCTGTTGCTTTCTGGTAAGTGCTCACACCCTCTAGCAATTAAAAAGAAAAAGAAAGAAGGAAGGAAGGAAGGAAGGAAGGAAGGAAGGGAGAGAGAACTGATTTTCCCCCAGGCCACACAGTTTGGGGACGGGGTGCTAGGAATAGTTCCCTCCAGAGCCCGTGTCCTCCCCATCCTGCTTCCCTGCCCTCTTAACCCAGCCCGATATTGGGAGAAAGTGCCCAGGAGAACGTCAAAAGACAGAGACAGGACAGGCGGAGGTCGGGAAAACAATTTTGAAGAAGAAAATAAAATGAATGTATCCAAGGGAAAACAATCTCACTCCATCCCACAATCTCACTCCAAAAAGGGTTCGCTTGATTTGTTTTCTGCTATAGGGCATGCGCACTTGCCAAGGAGAGCGAGAGAGAGAAAGAAATCACTCCCTTGGTTGAAAGAAATGACCACGCCATAATCCCCTGTCCTCCATTCTCCTCTCAGGATTTTGGGCATGCACGCCCACGCGCTGACATGACTTTTAAGCCATCGGGTCCAGGGCTTGAACCACGCAATAGGCAATAGGTCATGTGGGATCCAGCACCTTAACCTCCACGCCACCTGCTGGTTCCCCAGAGAGTTTTGAACGAAGGGTTCATCGCAGCACCAATGTAAGAGTGAGCACTTGGCAACCTGAAGGAGAGTTCAAGCCCAGTGTCCTGCACAAGGTTGGCGGTCCCAGAGGCCAGGTGGCAGCATGGGAAGAAGCTTCTAATTAGCACTCGGTGAACACTCTCTGATCTGGTAATCCCCCTTTCTACAAACATTTCCTAAGGAATTAACCCTAAATATGGGAAGCTGGTTTTCATTTCTTCTAGCAAGATGTCTGCTCTGACGTTCGTGGAGTCAGAGCGAGAAATGCATGCCACTGGACTCTCATGCCATGTTCTTCCGCTCTGACACTGCACAGGGGACGGAGACCAGATTCCCAAACCAGCAGAGGGCCAGGGCCCGTCTTTGTTGATCTCTGTGTCACTCAGAGTCTTACATGACTATAAATCAGTCACGTCTAGTTCTGCATGAACAATACGTTTTTGCTGGAAAGGGGAGAAAATGGAAGAAAATGAAATGACATGACATGGAACCCTCCAGGGAGATTCGAACTATGCATTTTTTTTTTTTTTTTTTTAAGAGATTTTCACTGTAGGGCGCGTGCGCTCGCCAGACAGACAGAGAGAGACAGAGAGACAGAAAGCGAGAAATCACCCCCCAGGGGATGGCCACACCGCAATCCCTTCTCCTCCATTCTCCTCTCGGGATCTTGGGCATGCACGCACACGCACCCGGCGTGAGTTTTAAGCCACCGGGTCCGGGACACGAACCGCGGTCGACTACGTGGGAGTCCAGTGACATAGCCATTAAGCTAACTGCTGGTTCCCAGAACTATGCATTTCTTAAATAGAGTTTAAAACATCATCAATATGCATGTGTGGATGCCCTATTCTGTCCCATTATTTCACCCCCAAAGCCCCCTTTCCTTGGAAATCGCAATTTGGGGCCACACTGGCTTGTTCTGGACAATGAGCGCTGTGGGGTTACCCCTACCCAAGCTGTTTGCAGCATTCCTGGGTAAAAGGCACCTCAGGATCACAAGGTTGGAGAACACGCCTCCGCTCAGCCCTTCCACTCCCGTCCCTACTCACCCTGCCGGCCCGCAGGGTACTTACTCAGCCGCCGCAGGTACGACACTGCATCCTCGTAGCCCCGGTAGTAGTAATCGTGCAGGCTCTGGGGGTGGGAGCAGGGGAATAGCGAGGCTGCCCTGAGAGAGAGCCGTAGCCCCCTCACCCAGTACAGCGCTTTCATGGTCCTCGAACTTGATTTGAGGGGCTTTTCAGAACATTCCCATCTGCGTCCTGTCCCTCACTTCATCTGCTTATCAGATCACATACGCGGAGGTGCCTGCCTTGAGGTGTTAACGGCACACTTTCCACAGCTGACCTTCAGCCTCCTCTGAGTGGAGGAGGAGCAACTGCTCATGGTAGAACCAGCGAAGGCCCAGCAGGCCCATTTGAAGGGCAAAGTTTAGTCTGGGTTCAAATCTCAGGGCTGCTACCTACAGGCTCAGTGCCTATAACTTCTCACAGCCTCAATTTCTCCATCTTTGAAATGGGGATCCTAATAGTGCCTAACACAGAGGATGCTGGAGCAATATCCCCCATGAGATATTGCTCATGGGACTTTTCCGGAAAGGGACCTTTGTTGGCCACATACAGTCCCCGCCACATGGTCTTCTGCTTTTATTGGTATCGCCATTATTACAACCCTTTAAAAATGGAAAACCTGGAGGCCAGCAGGTAGCATCGCGGTTACATTGCTGGACTCCCACCTGGGTGACCACGGTTCGAGTCCTGGGCCTGATGGCTGAAACTCATGCTGGGTGCGTGTACGTGCGTGCCCAAGATCCCAGGAGGAGAATGGAGGAGAAGGGATTGCGGTGTGGCCATCCCCCCAGGGGGTGATTTTTCACTTTCCTTCTCACTGTCTGTCTGTCTCTCTCTCTTTCCGGTGAGTGCATGTGCAAAAATCTCCTAAAAAAATAATAAATGAAAAGCAAAAATCTCCTAAAAAAAATAATAAATGGAAAACCCGTTCTTAACTCACAGGCTGTACAAAAACAAGCCATAGGCTGGATCTGGCCCATGGGCCTAGTTTACTTCGGTGCTCTGGCCGCCAGAGTGGGAGGGCTCAGTTCTGATATCACCTCACCTTTCAGGTGAGAAATAGAGGCTGGGAAGACCCGGGGGACTTGTTCAAGGTCACATACCTGGTCAACAGCAAGGCCAGGATGCAGGTCTAGGAGGAAGTGAAGGGACCATTTGAGGGGAGCAGACCCTGAGGGCACTCAAGTGGACTCTACCATCTCCCGCCCACTCCAGTCCCTGTGGCTTCCCGTCCCCTCTCACCACCAGGTCCGGGGGGAACAGAGCGTGAGTCATCCTGGTGATGTTCTCCAGTGAGAACTGGAAGGAGTAGTTGAACATGCGGAAGTCGTTGAAGATGGCAGGGCAGTCGCGGGGGCAGATGTCCTGCTGTCCGCTGAAGGTGGAGATGGTGATGGAGTCAGTCCAGAAGGAGCAGGGCTGCATGTTTGTGAAGCCCCCGTCAATGTACCTCTGGGATTCAGGGGTGAGAAATGCCAGGGTCAGAGGCCTCACTCCACTTAGGGAGTACATTAAAGGAAAGGGCCCATGGGGCGACGGGCCAGGAGACCCTTCAGGACAAGCCCTGAGGCTGAGTCCCAGTGGGTGAATAGTAGGCCCAAGGTCCGTGGCAGCCCTAGGACATCGAGCCCAGTGCCCCATCCCTGCACTGGCCTCCTGCAGCCACGCTGATGCTGCTGAGACTGGGGCTCCCAGGCCTCGTGGGGAGGAGCACACACACTCTGAATAAGGCTGGAGGGTGTGCTCCCCTGCCACAGCCTCACCGTGAGCCCAGCCTCAAGGGCCTTCCCCTCAAGACTTCTGTTCCCTCACTTATGGACGAAGGACAATGAATACGAGGCTCTAACTCTTAACTCTGAGAGTTAATGGCTGACATGTAATATAGGCTCCAGCTGCGACCCAAATCCTAATCTCAGACCTTATTGTCTCTATATAAGTAGGGGGCACGGATTAGAACTGTAGTCTACCACCTCCCGCCCACTCCAGTCCCTGTGGCTTCCCGTCCCCTCTCACCACCAGGTCCGGGGGGAACAGAGCGTGAGTCATCCTGGTGATGTTCTCCAGTGAGAACTGGAAGGAGTAGTTGAACATGCGGAAGTCGTTGAAGATGGCAGGGCAGTCGCGGGGGCAGATGTCCTGCTGTCCGCTGAAGGTGGAGATGGTGATGGAGTCAGTCCAGAAGGAGCAGGGCTGCATGTTTGTGAAGCCCCCGTCAATGTACCTCTGGGATTCAGGGGTGAGAAATGCCAGGGTCAGAGGCCTCACTCCACTTAGGGAGTACATTAAAGGAAAGGGCCCATGGGGCGACGGGCCAGGAGACCCTTCAGGACAAGCCCTGAGGCTGAGTCCCAGTGGGTGAATAGTAGGCCCAAGGTCCGTGGCAGCCCTAGGACATCGAGCCCAGTGCCCCATCCCTGCACTGGCCTCCTGCAGCCACGCTGATGCTGCTGAGACTGGGGCTCCCAGGCCTCGTGGGGAGGAGCACACACACTCTGAATAAGGCTGGAGGGTGTGCTCCCCTGCCACAGCCTCACCGTGAGCCCAGCCTCAAGGGCCTTCCCCTCAAGACTTCTGTTCCCTCACTTATGGACGAAGGACAATGAATACGAGGCTCTAACTCTTAACTCTGAGAGTTAATGGCTGACATGTAATATAGGCTCCAGCTGCGACCCAAATCCTAATCTCAGACCTTATTGTCTCTATATAAGTAGGGGGCACGGATTAGAACTGTAGTCCCCAACCTTTTGGGACTAGGGACTGGTTTTGCGGAAGACAATTCTTCCATGGAGCAATAGCGGGGAGGGATGGTTTCCGGGTGTTCAAGCACATTACATTTATTGTGCACTTAATTGAAAAAATGAAATAATTGTACAATTCACCTCATTTGCAGTATTTGCAGCTGTTCCCCAGTGCTAGCATCACTGCCTCAGCTCCACCTCAGGTCACCAGACAGTAGATTATCAGAAGGAGCAACTAGATCCCTCATATGCACAGTTCACAATAAGGTTCATGCTCCTCTGAGAATCTAATGTCCCTGATGATCCGACAGGAGGCAGAGCTGAGGTGGTGACGTGAGCAATGGGGAGCGACTGTAAACAGATAAAGCTTTGCTTGCCTGTCGCTCACCTTCTGTTGTGTGGCCAGGTTCCTAATAGGTCATGGACTGGCAGGGAGATGGTCACTGGCTTAGACCCTTGCCATTAAAAGTGTGGTGTGGGGACCAGCAGCACCGCATCACCTGAAGCTGGTTAGAGGTGCAGAATTGCAGGCCCTGCCCCACACCAACTGGATCAGAATTTGAGTTATTTTACAAGACCCCTGAGTGACTCCTGGGCACACTAACGGTTGCGAGGCACCCACTTATACAGCTTCAATGATCTCTATCATTGAACATCCTAACGTTCCAGGGTTTATATTCTACACTCTCTGTCAAGTGTAAGAAAATGTTGCAAGCCTGTGGAACCTTGATTTGCTGGGCTCAGTAATGGGTTGGGTGGTCCAGAGAGAGGCCCAACCCAGATGCAAAGGTTCATCTTTTATTTTTATTTTGCTAGGGGATGTGTGTGCATGCTCGAGGGAGACAAAGGGAGAGAGAGGAGAAAGCACCACTCATGGGGAACGGTCACATAGCAATCCCCTCTCCTCCATTTCCCCTTCAGGATTTTGGGCATGCATGCACATGTGCGCAGCGTGTTTTTTAAGCCACTGGGTCAAGGACTTAAACTGTGCTGTCAGCCATGTGGGACCCAGCTGCCTTAACCACCAAGCCATGGAGCTGCCTGGAGAGGTTCATTTTAAAGCCCTAGAAATTCACCTGTTAGGTCATCCAGAAAGTCATGACATAGTTTTGGTTTTCTGTGCAAATATGCATCATAACTTTCCCAGCGACCCAATATATTAGGAAATCTGAGTAGAAAAATGTAAGAAACTTTCCAACTCTAGGTCCTCCCACTGTGATTCTGAGAACCATTCCTCTGTCCTCCAGATGTGGGTTGCAGGAACCCCAAGGTGCCCCCCAGATGAAGCTTCCCCCTCCCCCGCACCATGCCAAAGCACTCACCACACCACGATACGTTGGAGGAATGAAGCCGCAGTACACGGGGACGAAGCAGCTGCAGTACAGGGCCTGTGGGGAGAACAGGGCTGAAGCAGGAGACCTGGAGGTTGTGGGACGGCTCACCTGCAGGTGCTGAGCCACCCACCCCAAGCCTGGTTTCCTTAAACCCAAGATGAAGGCAGCACCCAGGCAAGCAGAGGCCAAGTTCAATTCCAGGATCAGCCCTAACTAGCTGGGTCCCCGGTAACTTGGTCAGCCTGAGCTGGATGCTCCAGCTTTAAATGGGAAAGGAAGCTGCATTATCTCCAGGTTCCCTTCTGGTACTAAACAGTCAGAAATCCAATGGTTCGACAACCATTCATGGTCTGTCCTGGGCCAGGTCCTATAATCAGAGTAGGGTGAGGTGCCGACCTTTGGGAACGCCCTAAGAGGGGACAAGAGGCAGCACAGCGGGGTGACATACTTTGATGGAGGAGAGCGTGGCTGCTGTGAGCCCAAAGGAGGGTGCGAGGCACCTCTTGGGAGGAAGGAGAGTGGCTACATGGGATGAAGGGTCTCACGTCTCCACCTCTCTGTCCTGGGAGAAAAGTGGGCACATCCATGGCAGGGTGCAGCAGGATCCATGGCTTCTGTGAACAGGCTTGAGCAGTGTGCTGTTCTACGTGATCACCTCGTTAGTTCGTGACCACTGAGCTCTTCATCAAGGGGCACTGGAGGACGGGGGCAGGAGGGACAACCTGCCACCCATCTCCCCAATCCTCACACACTGAGAACAATTCAGGGGGAAACACTGCACCCCAGACTGGAGTGCCCCCCAGGCCCCGTGGGCACATCTGGGCCTCTGAGAAGCTCAGGGTTAGCAGAGGGGTGTGCACCGGGGACCTGGCTGTTGAAGTCTTAGTGATGGCGACCAGCCTGAGTGGGCTTGGGCTTCTCTGTGACCTTCTGGTTTGATGCTACACCTGGCACAGATGCTGGGGAGTGAAGGAAGGGAAGAGCTGGAGACGCAAAGAGGGAAGGAAGGCCGTGGGAGGACAAGTGGCCATGGCCTCCCAGCCGCCCCTCCCAGAGGAGCCCCTTGCCTCGATGAGCTCCTCCTTGGACGTGTACTCCGACACCACCACGCTCTCTCCGTCTGTTAAGCGGGTGAGGCTCACATGGAGCTTCCCGGTGGCGATCTTGTAGGAGTCCTCAGGCAGGGTCTGGTACAGGAACCGCCTCATCATCTGCACCATCTTGCAGGAGGGGGCAAAGGGCCCCAGGAAGGATTTCCTCACTTCGGCCACCCCCACATTGAGGACTCGGAGGTATTCATCTGCAGAGGAAGAGAGAGGGTGGGTGGTGGCGCCACCCAGTGGTCCAGAGTGGTCATCCTGCATCCAGCCAATGGGAAGACCAAGGATTCCGAAGCAGGAAGGTCTCAGGGATGGACTTGCTGCTTTGCATATGAAGAGTACAGGCCCTGAAGACTGAAGTCACTGGCTCCTGAGGGCCTGCAGTTAGATGACGACAGAACTGGACCCTGGGGTCCTGACTCCCTGTCCAGGAGTGGCTACATGATAGGAATTTCATATCAATGGCTACAGGAACACATTTCCACACCAAAGGAGCTTTCCCCAACTTCCTGTCACTGTGCCTGAAAGTGCACTGCCAGCTTCCTGTCCCCCTGCCTGGAAGTGCACTGCTAACTTCCCACCCCATGCCTGGGAGTTCACTACTAACTTCCTGTCCCCCTGCCTGGAAGTGCACTGCTAACTTCCTGCCCCTGTGCCTAGAAGTGCACTGCTAACTTCCTGCCCCCGTGCCTAGAAGTGCACTGCCAACTTCCTGTCCCCGTGCCTGGAAGTGCACTGCTAACTTCCCGCCCCATGCCTGGGAGTTCACTACTAACTTCCTGTCCCCCTGCCTGGAAGTGCACTGCTAACTTCCTGCCCCTGTGCCTAGAAGTGCACTGCTAACTTCCTGCCCCCGTGCCTAGAAGTGCACTGCCAACTTCCTGTCCCCGTGCCTGGAAGTGCACTGCTAACTTCCCGCCCCATGCCTGGAAGTGCACTGCCAACTTCCTGCCCCTTGCCTGGAAGTGCACTGCCAACTTCCTGTCCCCCTACCTGGAAGTGCACTGCCAACTTCCTGTCCCCGTACCTGGAAGTGCACTGCCAACTTCCTGTCCCCGTACCTGGAAGTGCACTGCCAACTTCCTGTCCCCGTACCTGGAAGTGCACTGCCAACTTCCTGTCCCCGTACCTGGAAGTGCACTGCCAACTTCCTGTCCCCGTACCTGGAAGTGCACTGCCAACTTCCTGTCCCCCTGCTGGAAGTGCACTGCTAACTTCCTGTCACCATGTCTGGAAGCCCACTGCCAGCTTCCTGTCCCGGTGCCTGGAAGTGCACTGCCAGCTTCCTGTCCCCATGCTGGAAGTGCACTGCTAACTTCCTGCCCCTTGCCTGGAAGTGCACTACCAACTTCCTGTCCCCATGCCTGGAAGTGCACTGCCAGCTTCCTGTCCCGGTGCCTGGAAGTGCACTGCCAACTTCCTGTCCCGGTGCCTGGAAGTGCACTGCCAACTTCCTGTCCCTGTGCTGGAAGTGCACTGCTAACTTCCTGTCACCATGTCTGGAAGCCCACTGCCAGCTCACATTCTTTCTGGGTTCTATTTGAGATTCCTATTAAAACACTAATGTGAGGTGGCCACATAGCCTCGTGGTTAAGGAAGCCAGATCCCACATGGCAACTGCAGTTGGAATCCCAGCCCTGATAACTTGAAAAACAAGCCAATATATATATATGCCATCCTTTTTAGAGCTACTTCCATTCCTGTCTTTTCCAGAGGGTTTGCACAGGTAGAAATTGGCAGTGGCCAGTCCGAAGTAGGTGTAGACCTGGCTCTGGAAACGTGGCTGAGTGTAACAGAAGGAGCATGAATTCTGGTGTCCCGCAGTCCCACATCCTCAATTAAAGTCCACTTTGTCCACTCCCTAACTAGCTGCCCCCGGACAAGCTATCTTATCTCCCCAGGCCCTGTTGGGCGGTGTTCTCCCTCTTCCTCTAACTCTCACTGGGGAGCACCGGCAATTACGAAAACAAAACAAAACAAGTAAAAAGCACACGGATGCCGTTGGAAGTCTTTACCAAGTGACACTCTAGGACGCCAACTTAGTGCCGATCGGGGGTGCAGGCAGGGGAGGGGTGCTGGCCTTGGGTGGCTGACTTGAGAGGAGGAGGCGAACTTTGTCCTGGACCATTACATCATCTTTCTTTATGGCCCTGGGATGAGTCCGAGAGGGAAGAGGCCTGAGACGTGGAGCACGCGAGGGCCTGCACGTACGAGGCGCTCAACGAGCAGATGTGCTTCCCAGGGGTGGCGGAGGAGGCCCCAGCCTCCCCACCTTGAATCCTCAGGCTCCAGCCAGAGAAGTTTGGGTTGTCGGCATCATTGAAGTGCTAGCTTGCGGAACTCGGCACAATGCTGTGAGGGGGTACTTGTATTCTTATGTTACTGAGAGGAAAACTGAGGCTCGGCCAGATAAGACAGCTTGTCTGGGGGCAGCTAGTTAGGGAGTGGGCAAAGTGGACTTTAATTAGGATGAGGGACACGAGAACTCATGCTCCTCTGTCACACTCAGCCAGGTCTATGCTACTTCTGACTGGCCGCTGCCAATTTCCACCCTGTGCAAACCCTCTGGGAAAGTGAGGAATGGGAGTAGCTCTAAAAAGGAAGGCTCATTTGAGAGAGAGATACTTTTGCTAGAGGGAGTGTGGACTTGCTGGAGAGATAGAAAGAGAGAGAGAAAGTGAGAAATCACCTCCTGTGAGGGGGATGGTCATGCTGCAATACTTTCTCCTCCATTTTCCCCTCAGGATTTTGAGTACACATTCACATGTGCCCAGCATGAGTTTCAAGTTGCTGGGTCTGGGATTCAAACTGCAGTTGGTCATGTGGGAGTCTAGCACCACAATCACTACGCCACCTGTTGGCCCCATGATTGCTATTTTTAAAAAAATTATTTAATTGTAAAACAATTATATGGAAGAACTTTGTTTTCTTTTTCTTTTCTTTTTCTTTTTTTTGGAAAGGTTTTTGTTATAGGACACATGCGCTCACCAGAAAGACAGAGAGACAGCAAGCAAGAAATCACCCCCCAGGGGGGATGGTCACGCCGCAATCCGTTTTCCTCCACTCTCCTTTCAGGGTCTTGGGCATGCACGCACACGTGCCTGGCATGAGTTTAAGCCACCAGGACTGGGACTTGAACTGCTGTCCACTACATGGGAGTTCAACGACATAGCCATTACGCTAACTGCTGGTCCCAAACTTTCATTTTTTTAAAAGGGGTTTTTGTTTGTTTGTTTGTTTTTTTAATTTGATCTGAGAGGGAAGTGTGAGAGAGAGGGAAAGTGAGAGAGCAAGCTGCCGGGTCTGGGACTCGAACCACGGTCGGCCATGTGGGAGTCCAGTGCCCTTAACCACTATGCCACCTACCGGCCTCTGAAAGAACTTTCTTAAAGTTAATATTATGTAACTGTGGTTACTTGTGCAGTCTGCCCTGGGAGTAACCCAGCAGAGGCTGGGCAGGCCCTTCTGTCAGAGCTTATCCAGGGGATTCCTCATGGGTGCCAAGGGCTAAGACTCCTTTCAGCTGTCAGGTTCTGGATTCTCACTCGCACCTCACAACATACACACTCACAGTCTGTCTTACCCTCCGACTTACAAATAGAGACACCGAGAGGTTAAGTGGCTTGCTCCAAGTCGTACTCAGCAGCTTGAGGACAAAGCCAGGACAGGGATGTCCATTCCTCTCGTATTTTACGGTGCACAAATGACTCCACATTAGTCCTGGGACTGGCGAGATCAGGCGCTTCAGCAGTTTTACAGACGTGGGAGCCGAGGCAGGAAACGCTAGGCCAGACAGCCGGGCAGTGATTTTTCTGACTCCGTGTAAGACTGTCTTTCTCCAGGTGTTGGGGTGACCCCAGGGAAGAGGCTGAATGAGCCTGGCTTGCCACGGTAGCAGCCTTTTTTTTCTCCCCACCAGCGTTCAGAGTCACACCTGCATATGTGCAGCACAGAGTCACACCTGCATATGTGTAGCACAGAATCACACCTGCATACGTGCAGTACAGAATCATACCTGCATATGTGCAGTACAGAATCATACCTGCCTATGTGCAGTACAGAGTCACACCTGCATATGTGCAGCACAGAGTCACACCTGCATACATGTAGCACAGAGTCATACCTGCATACATGCAGTACAGAATCATACCTGCATACGTGCAGTAAAGAGTCACACCTGCATATGTGTAGTAAGGACTGATCTGAGCAAGGAGCATCTTAGCTGTCACCCTCTCACAGAGGAGGGTGTTCCTGGGAGGGGAAGGTCCTGTTGTTTCAGGGAAGCTAGCTTTACCATGTCCTGACGTGTGTGAATGCCATTGTCTCTCGGGAGAGGAGTGGTCAAGCCACTAGCAGATTATGAAGCAACTGAGCATGTGGATAGGCACCATTGGGTCACCGAGGTCTCACCTGCAAGACCAATCGGGATGGGGAACAGAGCCAGAGTGATGACATGCTGGTTTTGGAATTTTTAATGAGCAACTTGATGCTCTGCAAGGGTCAATGGCCCTTCCCTTTCCCATAATGCCTCAGAGCAGGCACACCTGACTCAGCCCACTCCATGCACTCTTGGACTCCCAGCAGGAGGGATCATGGGAAGGATCACACGTCGCACATGCTCATTGTGGAAAACATATTTTTAAAAAAATGCATCTAAGCAAAAAAGCAAAAAAAAGGTCTTGGAATCCCTCCACCCAGAAATTAACATTTGACCTGTCTTTCTAGACTACCTATTCTGTTTGTATTCTTACGTATATGGAGTCACTGCAGACATTATTTGTAACTTGCTGTTTTCACCTACTATCTCGTGTCTTTCCACATCAATTAATATCCATTTATAACCTAGTTTTTTTTTTTTTTGAGAGATTTTCACTGTAGGGCGCGTGCACTCGCCAGCCAGACAGAGAGAGACATAGAGACAGAAAGCGAGAAATCACCCCCCATGGGGGATGGTCACGCCGCAATCCCTTCTCCTCCATTCTCCTCTCGGGATCTTGGGCACGCACGCACACGTGCCCGGCGTGAGTTTTAAGCCACCGGGTCTGGGACACGAACCATGGTCGACTACGTGGGAGTCCAGCAACATAGCCATTACGCTAACTGCTGGTTTCCAAACTGCAGCCTGTTAACCTAGTTTTAAAATCAGCATGAGAAGCTATTGAAGTTACACTATTAATTCTTTTTTTTTTTTTTTGGAGAA